GGGGGGGCCGGGGGGGGGGGGGGGGGGGGAATAATCTGCACAGGAGACACCCGGGGAGCCTGGGGCTTCCTGCTATCTGCAGTGGGAGTGCAGCTGTCTCCCTCAGAGTTGCCACCCTTTGGAAAGGGCCATCGTGAAAGCCACAATCACTCGATGAGCTGGAGATCATGCAACAAACTTCACCTTCACCCTCCCAGGTCCCCAACATAAATGTGAATGTGACATAAAGCATCCCTCCTCCTTCAGGCAAAAGCTTGCCTGAGGTAGCAGAGAGCCAGGAAGGAAGCATCTTCCCCGAGGAGCTGGAGGGGAGACGTACCCCATTTTGAGGCTGGTCAGGGCATCCTCCACTGAGCGCTGGTTGTATTTCACCATGTGTGTGTGCATGTCGGGGTAGTTGCTCCGAATATTCCTCTCTGTGCTGCCGTTGGGAACGGTGCCGAACCGGAAAGGCGGGTACTGCTCCTGGGGCCGCTGGAACTGGAAAGGGAAGCGCCACAAACCACAACCAGTTGCCTTGTCCACAGCAACCAGCACTGCAGTCCAGGCATACCTTTGGACTTTTCTTTCAGCCCAATGTTAGAACAAGCCTGTGCCTGTATCCGGCCTCTTTTCCTTTCCTCCCCTTCCTATCTATTCCCACCCTGTCACTATCCATCTAGGCTGGCTGAATACTGGGCTGACGTGTCCACAATATGGTTCTCACTTCGTTAACATCTATATGACAGTGTCCAAACCTGCAGGTCCTGACAAGCCCGAGTCAGAGCCCACGCTTGTGTCCCCTCTTCTCAATTCTCACTCCCAGCCTCCTGTAACAGGGCTCTCATACACGCGCCCCTGCCCACCCACCCCTGTCACTTCCCATCTCTTTTTCTATCCTCGCCCACTTGCACTATTCCTCCACTTCAGACATTTTAAACTAGCCACTGCCCTGTGGTAAACAGCCCTTTACTTCTCGTGAAGATGCAATGGTTGAGATAAGAGGTCTTCTCCATCTCACACTGATAATGGTAACAGAACTCCATTATTTATGTAGGGCCAGATTCTGCTTTACACTGCAGGTGCCCAAGTGGACTTAAATGACTAGACGTGATCCTGTTCCACCCTACTCAGATCCCAGGAAAACCGCCAGTGAAAAACTAGATGGGTCATTCCTCTGCTCGCTGCTTTTCGTGACTTAGTTGTGAGACTCAGATGAAGGCAAGTTACAAAAGTAGGCACGCTTATGTTTTTCAAGGACTCGAGCAGAGTAGAACAGGATCACATGTAGGCAGCCAAGTCTACTTTGGTTTCCAAAAGGTAAAACAGGATCTGGCCCACATGTTTCACCCACAGATCTCAAACCGCTTTCCAAAGGCACGTTTCACTGTTCCCATTTTGCAGATCGAGGAAACCAAGGCACAGAGCTGGAGCTGGGGCTCAAACCCACATCTCCTGAGCACTAGTCATGTAAGCATTGTCTGTTGAGCCCTACGGCCTCTTGTGGAGGGGTAGGACAGCACTGCCAGAGTTTAAGGTGGTGCCAGCTTCTCAAACTCTGCTTCCCATCGAAGGCAATTCTGTTCAGAAAGGTGCTCCTAGCTGATGGCCAGCCCATGCTGTGTACTCAAGAGGGGGCACATGGAGGATACGCCACGTCAGAGTCTCCCACCACAGCATGGGAATGACTCCTTTGGACTATCCATGGACAATAGTGGGAGGAATGAGCCCAGCAATCCCCTGTTCTGCATGAGAGCCTGGTGCCTTCCTCGCTCTGGTCCTTGGTTCCCTCCACTGGCTTTTCACTTTTTGCTCTCCACCCTGGCTACTTCTGTGGATTTCTCTTCTGCTCCTCCTCCTTTTCAGCAATGAGATCTGTTCCCCATTAGGTCAAAAGACTTCAACGTCCTCCAACCTGTGTTCCCCTTCAATCCCTCGCCTTTACCCCAACTCCTCTTGGATGAGTGGCTAGGTCTACCCACAGTCCCTTCTCCTATCAATGCACCTTATGCCTCATACAGAGCAGGGTAAGTATACAACCCACAGAGCATACCACCACCATCTCTGGCTGCTAGCCTCACTCTGTACCAGAGATGTAATGACTGGAGTAAGAGTCAGGATGAGCAGTAACAGAGCTTTGATGGATTCAGCACGTGGTTCTTTGTGGCTGGTTTCATAGAGAGTCCCATGCTACACAAGCCTGACTTGATCAGGTTAGTTCAGAACATGAAGCAGGTCTAATCAAGACTAACCCAATCCCTTGACCCTAACCTGTGTACTCCACGTGGCCTACTCTGCCCAGCCATGCATGCACTCCCAGACTGCATTTGTTTGCCTGGAGCCCACCTCACCTTCTTATCGCTCAGCCCAGAGACAGTGTCAATGTATTGCTCCTGGATCATAAATGCCGCCAGGTTAGCTGTGTAGCTGGCTAGGAATATCACAGCAAAGAAAGCCCAGATGAGCACCATAATCTTACTGGTGGTGCCTTTTGGATTCTCGATGGGCACCGAGTTATTGAAGACCAGTGCCCAGAGCAGCCAGATAGATTTGCCAATGGTGAAGGAGGGGCCGCCGGACTCTGGAAGGAGAAAAGTGGCTGTGAGTGACTCAAAGCAGCTCAGATAAACTCAGTGCAGTTCTTCAACCTCAGGTATCCCTGTTTGTGTCTTGTGGAAAATGAAACCATTTCTCGTGGCTGTTAGCCTGGAGCTTTTGCTAAAAGAAGGATTTCCACTCCTACTACTGTTTCTTTTTCAACCTCTAATTTTCCTGCCAAGTGGAGGCCCTCCCATCCCCCCTGAAAAAGATATAGACAAGGAACAGCTTTGGGGGAAGGTTATTGTCAATTCATTCTCTTTTTTTCCTTCTCTTCTGGCATTTGTTGATGAGAGAGAGAAAGAGAGAGGGATGGAGAGGTCTGAAACCCAGACCTCACCAGTGCTGCAAAACCCTTGCAGTCACCTGCTTCGTGCTTCAGACATCCCCAAAGGAGCGTGTCAGAGGCTCTAGGTACTGAAGATACATTGGCTTTACAGAACGCAGCCCGTAAAAGCCACCTGTTTCCTTAGGACTGAAATACCTCGGGGTCATATCCCATGGGTCTCTCAACAGCATGACCTCCAAGCTGGTCCAGGCATGCCATCTCTTAAAACATCATCTTACCCTAACAGCTAGTCTGTCGTAGGCATTTCTATATCACCAGTTACTGCAGCTGCCAGGCACTGAACTGTATGAAACACTTGGTAGAGACTGTTCAGCCATCGCTTGGTTCCAACTTACTGGTGGGAAATCTGGAACAAAATCCTGCCAGAACAATGCAGGTGGCCCTGTTTCATTGGCTGGGCCATTTCTGGGCTGTGAAGGGAATAGATCTGGGCCCTGCCAGACCTGTTTCAGAGTAGGATCCAAGACTGAATTTCAGCACAGAGAGACATGGAGACCTACTAACCAGCTGCTTTTTTTACCTCACTTCCTGAAACAGCTCAATACTTTGCTTGTAGTTAGGGCAAGTAGAATGGAAATGCATCTCCCTGTCCCACCACAACAGGTACACGTACCAGAAAAATTAAATAAGAGGGAAAGAAAGGCGGACAAAACCGGGACTACTCGAACCCAGAGCGAACAAACAGGCGGTAGCATGAGAAGTGGCGTGGCTGGTTCTGCCTGGCCGAGTTCAGCTGGAGTCTTTGTTCACTTGGAAGATGAAAGCTAAAAATAGGTTGCATAGTCTGTGCTGTGGGCTTTAAGTTGTTGTCTCCTGGAAGATAACGGCTTCCATCTCACTCGCCTTTCCTCCCTGTGCCCTATCTCTGGCTGACTGGCAAAATACCTAGGGGAAATGCTGAGAAACCACCCAGGTTCCCTGAACCTGGAGCGGGGCAGGGGTGCAGGGCAGTGATGCCCAGGTGGGGAGCAGAGAGGTTGTTGCCAGTGTGTGAAAAGTAGAATAAGGGCACAGCAGGATGGATAAGCCTTAATGAATTTAATCAGAGACAGGCCTGTTGCTCTGCAAAGTAACAGAGAGAAACCTTCTCCCCCAGCCGGCAAGGATGCAGAAGCTCTTAGCCAAACCAGAGGAACAGGCAGGACACAAATCCATCGGCACGCTGATCTGGCCTGATGGTGACAGCAGTGGATACAAATGGTTTGGGAGGAACTGGGTTCACCCGCTGCCATAATACCAGTCGACTCTGAACCAGCTTAAGGAATCTCTTCTAGCTTCATAGATTTCATAGACATTCGGGCTGGAAGGGACCTCGGAAGATCATCGAGTCCAGTCCCCCGCCCTAGGGGCAGGAAGTCAGCTGGGGTCGAAGGATCCCAGCAAGATAAGCTGGGACAGTCTAAGGGTGCTGTTACAGGTTACCTGGAAAACATTTTACATCTGTTCTGACTTTATGATGGCACAACATTCCTGGCTTCAGAGCAGTTGCAGGTCAAATCTTAATGCCGTCTGCGACCTGCACAACTGATTCCCGCTAAAAGGTCTGGTGAGCAGGGGCATGGACAAGACCCAGGACTGTACCCCTCCTCTGAGGGCTTGTGGGGCAGGGAAGGTGGCATATAACTCTGCATGCTGTAGCTTCCCTCTGGGGCAGAGCTGTGGCTTCCCTCACCCGGCAGCCAGGAAAAGCCAGCCAGAGCTGCAGGTGGGAGGGAAAAAAACTTGAACAGGCAGGGGGAAAAAAAGTAGAGAAAAAAGAGCAGGGGGAAAAAAAGAATAATAATAAAAAATAATAAGGAATTAAAATCTTGCATGTTTCACTGAACAGGGATTGAGTCGGGTCAGCACTCACACCAGAGCAGAGCCGAGACCCAGCATGCTCGCTGCATGCACAGTCTACTCCCCAGGACAGGAGAGGAGTGATTGCTCGGAGCCAGCACCATCCCCCTTCACAGAAGTATTCAGGATCATTGAACGCTAGTCCACAGGGCAAAGGATTGGGAAGCCCTGGGAATGATGCATCCTGGGATGCTGGAGGTATGAAAATAGAGCTTTTTTTTTTTTCTTCTCCCTGGAACAGACTAGCAATGCCCTGGAATGACCTGGGTAAAAAAGATCAAAGATAACAAGATGGGCATAAAAAACTTTAAAACATTTAGAGTGTACTAAGCACAGGTTAACACCCTTTCATGGGTGAATGTTGCCATTTTAAGTGCCCTTAGGACAGTTTAAAAGTAACCTGTAACACCACCCTAACAGAGCCATGGCAAGAGACTGTGGTTTGGGAATGGCCCTGCGTGGAGTGGGAAGGGGGGAAACCTGTTACGCAGTGCACCCCTTTTCCAACCCCCTGCACAACACGTGCACACAGCCCCTTTGAGCGACTTACTTTTGCCACTGGTTAGGTTCTGGTTGTAGCCGACGGGGCTGAAATATTCAAACACGAAGACAGTGACGGCAACCACAGTGAGACACATCACAAACATCATCACCCACACTGCTGGACTGTAGGGCTCTGGAAGGCAAGGAAGAGTCAATCAGTGCTGCGTTGTGCTGCCCCGGTCCCATGGATTTGTGCACACATGGCTGTAAGGCTTAAGCAAGTATAGGACACCAGCCCCCTCACACTGACTAACACGGCAGGACCCAAACTTGAGCCTCAGAGGAACATCTCCCTTAAACCACGTGCCCTATTACAGCGGTTTATCAACCTTTTTTAGACTCAAGGCAACCCTTATTAGACTTGAGGCCTCCTCGGAAAGTGCCACCTCTTCATTTTTTACTTGGTTTTTGACTATGGAAAAGTAATAGAGCAACTCTTCTCTTGCAAAGAACTCAATGACCGCAACAGGTCAGACCATTTTTAACACTATAGCGATTCCTATTTGAAACCTCTGGGTTTATCTTGTGAAACATGTTTGCACCCTTAACAGTGCTAACACTGCGTGGCACCTCATGGCACCCTTGAAAGGATCTCAGTGTGCTCCAGAGTGCCGTGGCACCCTGTTTGGGAATCACTGCTCTGTAAAGACAGACTTACCATTCCCAGCACAAGATGCACCCTATGGATCCCCTAGCCTTTGCTTTAGGCTGAAAGATGCCCTATATCTATACACAGAGTACACTCTTCCTAAATGCATTTCTCTCTTGCCCCATGTCAGTGAAATCAGAGCTGGAGATGGAAAGAAGCAGAGACACCCCATTCACAAGAAGAGCTGAAGTCAGACCTGATGAAAGCAGCTAGAAGTTAGCAAGCAGTGGTCAGTGAGGAGAGAAGAAAGTTGTGGAAAGTGGTCTTGCAAAAATTTACCAACCCAAACATCGCATCTACTTGCCTGGCCAAATCCTAACGGTGATGGCAGGAAACCTGAGGCATTATTCACATATCAAAAAATGTTACAAGTAATACAGAAGCTAGGTGAACAGATTACTACAGCACCTAGGAGCCACCATCAAGGACCAGGCATTCATTCTACCAAGCACTGTACAAAGACAAAGCAAAAAGGTGGTCCCTGCCCCTGACTGAGGAAGAACAGAATTGTAAGGCTAAGGTTACAAGTGGGTGCTCATTGGAACATATCCTGAATCGTGAACAAATGCTTATTTGAATACACCTGTTACAAAAGTGACCGCCTTCACACTGTTTGGGGTCATTTTCTAAGAGCGAGTGAGCTTCCCGATGAGAAAGCCTGGTAAGAAATCACAAGCATTCACACTAGGAACTGCATCCTAAGAGCGACTTTTTCTCAGTCAGGAAACAGAAACCTATCCTGTGCCTGAGACATCCAGTCGAAACAGCCTGGGGAGCAACTGCTTGCAGTAAATCACTCGAACACCAACTACAAACTGAGAATTATTAGTGGCAGAAATTATTCAGCAAATAAATTCCAGAAAAATGGGATGTAGCAATGAAAAAAAAAAAAATCACAAGCAGTAAAAAAAAGGCACAATAAAGCAGATATATTAATCATCAACTAAGCCAAGGGAGGGATTTACCAAGAGTAAACCTGCACTGTGATAGCCTGTAGCTTTAGTCTACCTAATTTAGGTAAGAATCACAGTGAAGGTGTGGCAGTGGGGGGCTATGATGCCAGTCAGCTGTCCAGGCGAGCATTAGGGTACCCAGGGGTTTGCAGAGCCTGTATTGAAGCTAACGGTGCTACAGTCTTGCTGTTACCTAACTAGATTAAAGCACTCCAAGCAGTGATCACACCTTCCCATTGCACTCGGGGCTCGCCCAGTGAGAGACAGCAATAGAGAGGAGCAGAGAGGGAGAGAATAGGGTATGAAGAACCAAGACAGGCACAAAAGGAGGGAAGGAGATGCCAAGAGAGGGACACAGATGAAAAGGGAGATGGACAGCCATGGAAAAGGGAGGCAAGAAGAGACGCAAACAGCAAGAGGCGTTGAGGGCAGAGAGAGACCAAGCAGAAGAGACGATGGCAGTTGTTGGGTGACAGCAGCAGACACATGGAGTGATAGAGCTCCATCGTTAAAGGGCAGGCTGAAGGATGGGATTAATTCAGGCCCTCAAAATACATCAACCAAGGCCCATTTGTCAGTGTGTCCTTCCCTGTCAGGCAGGAGAGAAACTTTATCTGATGGCATCAGATGCCTTTCATTAGCATGTCGAGGGAGATGGGAGACCAAGGGAGGACATACAGCGTAGGTGGGACAAAATGAGTGGGGAACCTTGACCCTGGCTCCTCTTGGACAGAACTTCCCTGCTCATATTTCCTGTGCCAGGAGGAGAAGATCATCATGCCCAAGGTGGCAAGGCCCAAATCTGGAGAAAGCAGAGAAACCATTAAACCTCAGAGGCCTGGCCGGATACCAATAACCGCACTCAGCGAGGGTTGCTCCTATGGCACGAGGCAAGTTTCCAAAGTAAGGTGGTGGGACACACCTTTCTGAAAAGGACTAAAGGCAGGGTGGTCCTGTCTCCTCTGACCCTGGTCTCACAGCCCCGGTGCCAGGGGACTGGCACATTTAGATCCCAGTTATCTGCCCTCCTCCCCACTGGCTCAGGGAGTCTGGCTGCACATTTAACCTGCAGTTCCAGAACACAGAAGGCAGAAAACTCTGAAGACGAAGAAACGATAACAGCTTTTGGCAGCAACATCTTGGGTTTGCGCACAGGTTACAGAAACCTTCAAGGACCATATGTACTTATACCAACCTGTAAGCAGGCATATCTAGCCTGGACAAGCTCACAAATATACACAGACTAACAGATGTGCTTACATAATACAGGCAGTCCTCGACTTAAGGCGATTTGCACTTGCGGCGCTCCGCCACTTGAACCCATGTTATTACTTACGGTGCTGGATCCTCACACTTATGGCACTACAGGGACATTTACAATGAGAAAGAGTCCCTGGACCAGTTTCTCAAAAAGCCATCAAGTATCCTTAAGTCTCCTCAAAATCTCCCCAAAGAAGCCCTTCTGAATCCCATGACCCTGATGAAGGTGCTCCTTCACCTTCTGATTCAGTAAAATGTTATGTGATTAGTTACTGTATTGCCCTGTTTAACTGATGTATATACACTTTAGAAAGCTTTATGCTGTACAGTGTATATCATTTATAGTTGATTAAACAGTTGATTTAAATATGATGCTTATGGTCATTTCTATAAAGAGTTGGGCATCAGGCCCTTGGTCAGGAACGTAATGCACTATTATAACATTGTTTCTATGGGAAAAATCAGATTCAACTTGCATCATTTCGACTTACAGCACCTCTTCCAGGAAGGCAACCCACTGTAAGTACAAGAACTGCCTGTACTGCACATGCCGTTTCTCTCCCACACACGTGTACACTTACACATGCACACATAGATATACATGTACACCTACATAGAACAATTTACACAGGAAAATACTTTCACCTATATACTCACACACAAAGGAGACCCTCACATATGAACCATGCAACATACACTGCAAATGTATGCTCATGCACAGAGAGACAGGCCATCAAGCTTGCACACACACCTATGAAAGTACAGGGGCAATATGTACTCCCAGAAATGCTCATTCGCAAGGACTACAGGACTTTCCAACACAACACATGCAACACGCAATGCATATTCATCCACAAGAAAAGGATCTTGGAGTCATCACTGATGCCAAGATGAACATGGGCTGGCAGTGTGGGGATGCAATCAGGAAGGCCAACCACACCCTGTCATGCATCCACAGATGCATCTTGAGCAGGTCCAGGGAGGTGATCCTCCCCCTCTATGCAGCACTGGTCAGGCTGCAGCTGGAGTACTGCATCCAGGTCTGGGCGCCGCACTTCAGGAGGGATGTGGACAACATGGAGAGGGTCCAGAGGAGGGCCACTCGCATGATCAGGGGGCAGCAGGGCAGGCCCTATGAGGAGAGGCTGCAGGACCTGAACCTGTTCAGCCTTCACAAGAGAAGGCTGAGGGGGGAATCTAGTGGGCTGTTACAAACTAGTCAGAGGGGACCAGCAGGCATTGGGGGAGTCCCTATTCCCCCGAGCACTGCCAGGAGTGACTAGGAATAACGGTCACAAGCTGGCAGAGGGTAGATTCAGACTAGATATCAGGAGGTGCTACTTCATGGTCAGGGCGGGTAGGATCTGGGACCAACTTCCAAGAGAAGTGATGCTGGCTCCTACCCTGGGGGTCTTTAAGAGGAGGCTGGATGTACACCTTGCTGGGGTCATTTGACCCCAGTACTCTTTCCTGTCATGGCAGGGGGGCGGACTCAATGATCTGCTCAGGTCCCTTCCGACCCTAGAAACTCTGAAACTATGAAACATATGCACTTAGGTGTGTATATATGCAGAAGCTTTGCATCCACATATATGGACCTGTTCACGTGACAGGCACTGCAAACATGCTTGTCCTCAAACAAGTGCAGATAGGCAGCATGCATTACTAAGGAAACTCAAAGCGATGGGTACTCACACAAAGCAGTCATGTACAATCATAAGCCTCCAGACTAGCATGCGTGCCCAGGCATGCATATAGTCACACACACTTCCTGCATAGTTAAACATTCAGGTTTTCCCCCCACCCTGCAATGAAATACTTAAAACCATTTATTCGAATGTTGTTATTAAAATGTGCAAGAGGCAAAGAGTGGGTTTGTGGAACGAACAGCCCGAGGAATAATCTCAGCCCAGCCAGTCCCAAATTCAATTCATTGAAAAGAACCGTTGCATAACTGGTTTCTTTTTGCGTCTTAGACTGTCTGCAGATCTGGCAGCGAGTGAAAGAAAATGACAGTCTTTGTCATTTTGTCTAAAATGACACTGCAGGAAAGAGGGGAGAGGGCCACAGGAGCCCTGCCTGCCCTCCAGTGTTGTCAGAGATGCTGATGTGGTGTCCATATCCTCACCTGACAATGGGCACATTGCTTCCACTCAGCTGAATTCACGCAACCCATCCCTCATACCACACTGCCTCAGGTTGGCCTTGTCCTTAAAGCAGTGGCCGGAGATTCAACAGACCTGCGTTAAGCTCCCAGCTCTGCACAGAGCCCCCATGTGACCTTCCTCTCTCTGTGCCCATCTGTAACTTGAGGATAACAGTGGTTCCTTGCTCTCATCCTTTGTCTGCCTTGTCGCTTTAGATCTGTAAGCTCTTTGGGATGGGGGCTATATCCAACCCACTGGGCCCTTAATCTCATCTGGGGCATGTAGGTGCTGTGATAGCAGCAGTAACTCCCACCAGAGAAGTTTTGCTTCCATGGGGCTAAATTTAAGGCCAAGACTAAGTGGGTGAAAATGCCTTGAGTCACTCCAGTTAACCCCAGAGGACAACTGGGCAGTAATGGCACCTCCAGCAGGAGGGATCAGCTCTCACTGGGACCCTGCAGGGTACTGGGTGGTTTCATTAAGACAGATGGAGTTAGATTAGATACAGGCCCAAATGAGAAGTGCAAGTCAGGATGCTGGGAAGGACCTCTAAATTTAGGTCTGGCTCTGATTTGGAAGGAAAACCAACCTGCAGAATGTCTAATAGTTCATCTTATTGTTACAGAAAGGAAATGCTGTCAGCTGGGCTGAAGGCAAAAATCAAGCCTTTAAAGATTTCAACACACCTGCATTCTCCAACAGAAAACCATCCCCGAGAACTCCCAACCTGCTCCACTTCAGATCTGAAATTCCCCTTTCAAGGAGGAGAGAGACCAAACCCAAATGCCCAGATCCAACTACTTTCAGTAGCGCTCCTGGGTCAGGATCTGTTTCTCAGACACATTGCAAATTCAGCAAAGTGCAGTCTGGCAAGAACAGATTTCAGCACCATCAAACCCCAACCTTGGCCTCCATGTAATCTGGCTTCAGTCCCTACCTTCTTCAACCTCCTCCAAACAGCAAGGGCCGGAAGTGTAGAGCACCCCAACTCCAACTTCATACCAAGTGTAAGAAGTTCCTGGAATGGTTTTCTCTTGCAGTATGCAGGGGTGTAATAATAAGTTATTGAAGGAGCAAAGGAGGGAAAGCAGTGAAGTTGGAGGCTCAATTGCTTTCCCCCAGAAACTCCAGAAGACAAGCCTGGGAACAGAAACTCATAACTTTCCTGGACACTAAAACCCATGGACATAACTGAAACATTGATTTTATGATTCATTAAAACTTACCTTTCACACCTCCCCCTGCTAACTTTTTTTTTGTCCCACAGGTAATAAATGCCCACTTCCCCTTTCAAGTGATTACATCTATTAACATCATTACATTACATTAAACCATTAGTTCTACCTTGTGTGTAGCTTGGATGGTGACAGCTTGTTTCCCAGACAGACCTGAAGGGCACATGAAGCCCAAAATGATGTCTCCTACCGCTCCCAACTATACAAGTTCCTCCAATGAAAAACATTTCTTCACCCCACAAATCTTGTTTCTCTGATATGGCACTAAGGGAGTTTGCCAACATGACCCTTTTAATAATGACATTTCAAAAATACTTTTATTGCAATTGTGGCCGCTGTCTTGGCCTGTGGGTGCTTTAGTATAATGAAATCATAACTACAATCCATAATAGCTATCTACAGCAGGCATAGCAGCCGCATATAAAACTATGGCATCATCATCATATGCTGTCACAAATACAATCAACATCTTCAACCTGTTCCTTTAACCCGTTCCTGTAAACTGCTCTGAATTACAACCCTTCCCAAGCAAAAGCTGGAAGAGAGAGGCCTTTACACTACACCTTGACCACCCAAGCAAGGTCACAGCTAAGGATGCTCTACCAAGAACACCCACCCTGCGAGTCTGAGCTCAAATGCTCTTCTCAGACACAGCGGGTTTGATGTCAGCTAAATGAGAGGCTGTTTCCAAAACATCTGAGCCCCAGAAAACATGAGGCTTTGGGACCCAATTTCTGAAACTCCTGAGGACCCACAATGGCAAATGGATTATGAGAATGATGGGTGCTCAACCCCCAGGAAGAGAGATTAAAATTTGTATGTGGACACCCAGGCAGCAAAGGTGAACTGCCCAGGGCATGGATCATCTTATTCTAAGGTGTTCTGCACTCACTGAAGTTTCTGGTTCCTCTTCCAAGTTATCTCAGAGAAGGTGCGGCAGCTCTTGCCTGGATGTGACAATGGTAAGGTCTCCATCCAGGAGCGGCACTACTCCATAAGCCAAACCTGGTGAAGAAAGAGCCACCACTCTTGGAAGAGACTCCAAGAACACACCCAACACTTAAATAACCCTCAGGTTGGCAAAAAGTGAGAATACCCCCAGAATATATGCAAGCCATAGAAAATCCTCCCGAGATTTGTCCTTCCAGACTAGCACCCCCGCCGTGTGGCCTACATTTATACCTTAGCCTGTTATGTCACCAACAGCAGGGAGGCCAGTCAATAGAAACTTCTGCAATATGGTCTCTTCTCCTCCGGGAACTTGTCCGAGATGCATTAGCTCATTTCATAAATTCCACCAAAAAGTTGCCACAGGCACATTGGTTCTGACCTGCTCAGCTCTGACCCTGTATTGACACTGAGGACCTACAGCCTCCAGCAATGCAGCCTTTAATGAAACCCTTCATTTTAAGATGACTGGTTCAGTGGACTTCAACTTTCCCATTTTTGTCAGAGACCCATCTACAGATCATAACCACGCAGAGCATAACACCAACATTAAACCCCAGAGAGTCCCCTTCTAGACCATATGGCAGAAGGACCCTATGGCCCTGGAAATGAGCAGAATCCATCAAGAACCTGCACAAGACGATCTAATTCTGTGTTACGACATTGCTGAAAATTGCACTCCACATTACAGCATGGTCAAGCAGCAAGGCTTTTCCCACAGAAAGAGTTCAGATTTTGCAAGGGGAGAGGCCCCAACATTTGCAGGTTCCCAGGATAAGCTCAAACCCAGCGGATAGGTTAATCGTTTCATTGCTGATCCCACTCAGAGACTGCAGCCCAGTCACCACCCCTTCAAAAATCGCAGGGACATGAAGTTCCTTTGGCAATTGCCAAGGTGTTCAGTCGTAGGAAAAAGATTGGGAAACTATTACTTATGCATGGATAACGATGCTACTTCTTTGCACTTTTATAGCACCTCATCAGTGAAACACCGAGTGCTCTATTAAATAATCAGTTCAGCTCTCAAGTACCCTGTAAGAGAGATGCTATTAGAGTCGTTTTATAGATAGGGAAGCTGAGGCAGAGAGGCCAAGTGACTTGTCCAAGGTCACAAGTAGCAGAATCAGAAATAAAATCCAGGAGTCCTCTTCTCCTCTTAACTAACAAGAGCCAGGTTAGGATGGAGTTTGGCTGGACTCATGCACCCTTCTCTGTCTAACCTTGCTTCTTCCTTGATGACAAATGGCAGAAAGCCTAGCACCAATGTGGGGATCCTGCATGGACCTCTGCCTACCCAGCCTTCAAGGCCAGATAATGATATCAGCCCATCAATCAGGTCAGCAGCAATTTTCATCTCCCAAAAGGCAGGCACCTCTCTGGCTCTGCCTTTCTTCCAAGTAATGCTGAGGGCATGAATTAACCTGGATGTGCCAAAACACCCCATGACCCTCAGTGCCACAGAACTGGACTCTCCACACCAGACTGAGGCCTTAGCCAACCTGACCTTCTGAAAACTCACCCCAGAAGGTAAACTGCAGGGCCACACCTTCATCCTGCATTTCTCACTCTACCTATTTCCCCCTCTCCAAAGCATCAACATCTGTGGCTTCACACACAATCACCATGCCAGCGCTAAACAGACACTTGCTCACCTAGGAAGGCAGATGGGGAGACAGTCCCGTTGCTTCTGGCCACCATGACGCTGATGCCAGTCTCCACGAAGGGCACAGAGAAATCCACAATCTCAGAGCGCTCCTCGTTGATGGTGAGGGACCCAATGGCCATGTCTGCTCGCTTGTAGTATACCTGGGGACAGGGAAGGTGATCAAGAACATGGCCAGGCAAATCCAGAGCAAAGAGGGCAATTGCTAACCAGGTCCCACAAAGCTAATCATCCTCTCTGTCTAGCCTTCACAGCGAATAGCAAAAAAAACTAGTACTAAAGCATCGCGCTCTCCTTGTCCTAGCCTCCAAGATGTGTTCACGATAAACTCCTCCCTTTATTACTGGTTTTCCTCTAACAGGCTCAAAGACTGATGCTTAGTGACTTCAAGGATCTTCTTCTCCACTCTGCCAGCATACAACAGGTGCCCCCCAGGGTTTGTGTACCCCATGGGTGCCACCCCAGCAACTACAGAAACAGGATAAAAGCTCTGCATCCACCCCAGCCAAAATGTAGGCAGCAGATCAGGGGCATGTCTGAGGCACAGCTGCAGCACACTGTCCGGCAGCTATTCTCTGCTGCCCCAGGCACATAAGGAAACAGGGTATAAAAGAGCAGCCAGCTGCACCAGGGGCCAGGCAGGCTACTGCACAACGTGCAGCCTAAAGCCATCCCTGCCCTGAGGACAGGAAAGGAATAACCAACTTAGACACATAGCTGCTAGGCCAGAATCCAACACCCAAACCTCCTTTCTTGCCACCCACTAGAGAGCAGCTGGTTTATACCAGAGAATTGGACCCAATGTGTATCAGCATCTCACACAAGCGCAAAACAACTACAGAAGAACATTCAGGTTGCTGAGTCAAGCCCGCCAGAGTTAGGCACAGGTGGAAGGGACCTCCCAAGGCCATTCAGTCCAGCCTCCTGCTCAGGGCAGGATCATCCATTCTTTGCATGAACCTCATTTATTGCAGAAGTTGGGAGTTATACTGACATTAGGACCAGGGATGGCAGGCAGAGGAGGGTCTCACGATTAAGGCAGATGAATTCTATCCGGGAGACCTGGACTTTCTCCCTGCCTCACGGCAAGTCGCTTCAGCCTAAATGCTGACAGCTGGCCCCTAGGCACATCTATTTCTGGGTATCCAATGCGACACCTGGAGTGAGATGGGCAGAAATGCTAAGGAGCCACAACTGCAACTGAGGTTGATCAAGGCTGTGTTTTGAACAAGCAGAGCACTACAAAACTGCTCCACGTTTGGGAACATCCTGCCATCAGTGTCTTACGCTGGGCACCCAAAATGGGCAGATACTTCTCGTGATTTTGACTTTCACCTTTTTATGCCTTAGCTGCCCAGAGGAAGAAGGGGGATAATACCACAGGGGTCTGCAAAGATGAATGTATAAAGATTGGCAAAACACTTGCCTAGAGAGAGGTAGTCAGCAGTCTTAGTCAGGCAGAAGTCAGGGTAGCTTTGCACCTTATGAGCTAACTAAATCTCATATGTGTAAGCATTCACCATCAGAGCTAAGCTCAAGCTGCTGCTTAGGAAAGCTTATACATCTGATTTAGTTAGTCTATGAGGTGCAAAAGCACTTGCCTGCCATAGTGAGAGCACCTTTGCAATGCCCAAAAGGCAATAAAAACGGTTGCATTCAACGCAGAGGGTATCGCATAATGCTTAAAAGGGGAGGATAAAAAGATGGTTTAAATAATGACCCTTCCACTGAGTAATGCCAGGATCCCTGGGAAAAAAATAGGATGTGATCGTGCCATTAAAGACTGTAATGTAATGGACACACAAGGTGCTGAAATAAGGTTGCAAGGGCTAAATTAGCACTGACACCTCCCAAGCTCTGAGTGCTTCACTTTGTGGCTAAAACATTCCTTCTCTTTATCTTTAATTTAACTTCCAACTTAAAATAGAACCAAACTGCAAGGAATTCTAGTACGTGGAATGACACTGCGATACACAGCACAGACCTCCACCACGTGACCTAAGGGAGGAACTGCAAGCCACCGGAGGAGAATGAGGCATACATTTTGCCCGTGGGTTTCAGAGCTATTTGCTGACAGCAGAGAACTGGCACAACTTGCGATTCAAGGGCTCAGGTCCATTGCTGGCAACAGGCTGCTAGTGCAGCCCTTCCCGAGGAGAGATGCATTACAAAAAAACGTCCTCCCTACCTCGCCAATCATCCCGTTCCAGACGCCACGCACTATCTTCCCATGCTTTCCATTGGTTACCAGGTAGAGGTCGTAGGAGAACTTCACTGCCTTGGCCAGCTTCTTCAGGATATCAATGCAGAAGCCCTTGCAACATAGCTTGGTGTAGGGGTCTGCAGGCCCATCTCCCCTGGAAGTAAGGCATTAAGCAGACTTGTGTATACGCACAGGTACTTCCCAGAGACAGGTGATGCTGCAGCAAACAGGTCAAATCCCACTTTTGCCTGGAGAGAGGGCACATGGAGCAGCCCCGGGGCTATGAAGCCTCATCCCATGGACTTGTATCTCAGGTGACTGTTTATATCCATGTAAAGTGGGCACCCGGCACAGCCATGCCACAACCCTGCTCTTACCTGCACTAGCCATGACATCTCACATGCCTTTTGCACAGCTTCAAAACAATGACCGCAAGGACTGGATTCTTGAATCCAGAGCACTGACAATGAGTACAACACAGTCAACAGCATTTTACATCAGTTGTGACAGGGGTGGCCAACCTGTGGCATGGGTACCATGAGTGGCACAGGGGCCGTGTGGCATGCAACAGATTGGGAAGGGAGCAGAAAGCAGAGCAGCAGATTAGGCAGGGAGCACGGTGACCGACAGGGCAGAGGGCACTGCAACAATTCAGATAGGGAGCAGAAAACAGAGCAACAGACTAAGCATGGGAAGAGGATTGGAGTGGTACCTGGGGAGGGTGAGGAACTAATGTGTGGCACACCTGCCAAAAAAGGTTGGCCCTTGCTGAGTTAAAGTAAAATGATTGCACAGAAGCCATAGAGGTTTATGCAGCAGGAATCAGGGCCATTGAGCAAAACCAAATGACACGGTAAGGGGTGGCATTGTTAACACGCTGGGAAGGCTAGAAGAGCATGGGGTGGCGGCTATTATTGGGAGAGGAACATATGTTTCTCTCCCCAGGGGGCAGGGGATGGCTGTTGAGCAATGCCTGGTCCCTCGTGGGAAGGAAAGAGTGGCAGAAAGTCTGAAGTAGGTGTAGGATGACTGCGCAGCAGATCTGCCAAGGAAAGGTCACTCTCCTGCAGCCCAGCTGACACCTCTGATCAGCAGGTTGCAGGGGTCAGCTGTGGACAAGTGATTAATACCCATGCACAGGCCTGTCTAGCTGCATCCCTGCAGGGACACCTTCCAGGAGCATCTTCATGGCCACCTTTCCAGAAGGTAGTCTCTGAGGAACCTCAGCCACAGCCCTAAATCTACAGACTCTCACTGTCCTGGAACTATAATTGATGGGCCAGGGCAGCAGCCAACCTGTTGGGAAAACACTGTGTTTACAGGCACTGAGCCGAAGCCCCAGAGCCTGCTCCCAGAGGGCTCCAGCTGTGTCATAACTCAAGTCTAGCAAGAGCCAGAAGCTCCCACCTGTAAGACTCAGGCCTGGACAAAAGCCCAGTTCAAAGCTCTCTCTCCAGCTGGGCATGACAGAGCTCTTACAGCTGTGACAAGAAACCCTGCGGCAACAGGCCCCTATCACCCCATCCGACCCAAACCACAACATTCCTGTTTGAAAATACTCAGGAAGCCTGTTTCTAGCACAAGTAGCATCTCCCTGCTACCAATGCAGCTTGCATAGCTCTGATCCCAGCTGGGCAGGAGCTGGACCACCTGGTTCTGCAAACAGTGTTTCTCAGAGCTGGAGATGTTTAAATTAACTCTGCTCTGACATAGATTGATATGGCACCTCCAGCCACCCCCCTGCCTGCCCACTTACCCCTCGGTGTAGTTGGTTTGCTTTCGGCAGGGCACGGTGTTGCGCACACAGACTCCAGTGGTGGGATCCGTGTTCTCCACAATCACAAAGGGTCTCTCTTCCAGGGTGGCTACGGTAAGGTGACGATTGTCCGACATGGGCTGCAGGAAGGAGCCATAACGGGGCCACACAGGGTACTTCATGTGGATGATCCCCTTCTCCCATTTCCCCACCTGCCAAGAAAAGAGGGAGCAGCATTAGGGTGAAGTAACACATTACACTTAGACCGTGCTAAATCTTTGGACTGTGAAGCACTGTTAAATGTGCTATGAGCAGTCGCCCGTTAAGAATTAATACTGTTTCTTGCCTTCACAGCTCTGACTTGCCACTAGAGGGTGTGCAGAGGCATAGCCAGGAACAAGGGATGCGACTAGGAGCCAGGACACCTGGGCGCTATCAGTGGGGAGGGGGCTGGGAGACGTGCATCCTGGGGTGCTGGAGAACTAAAAAGTGCTTGTTTTATCTCCATGGAGCAGACTGGAGTTACCCTAACACAAGCTAGGTCACACGGCCCAGAGTTAATCCTCACCTAAAGTGAAGTAACTCTGAGATGCTCAGGGGTGCACTTGGCACAAGTGAAAGAGCTTTATCATGTTTTAAGTGTCCTTAGTATGGTCTAAGTGTAACGTGTAACTTCAGCCTTACAGTCGACACCTGGGGAAATGCTACCAAGCAATGGGGGAGGTGAAACTATTGCTAGGGTTCAAAGCAGACCCATTGCCTTCTGCAATCCCCACCCTCGCTGCGCTGCTATAAAGGAAGAGGCAGGAGAAGGCAGGTTCAGGTGGCTGCAGGTATCAGAAAGCAGAGCTCTGCTGGACACGCAGCAAGGAGCAAATCACCTGTTCAACACTTTTCCCCTCTCCTCTACCTGGGATCGATTCGCTATGCAGAGCAATTTGCCAACTCATTTCTCCAAATAATTATTAGCCTGTAGCTCACTCATTTGTTTCATTTGATAATCAGGCCGTGCTGACTGAAAACAAAGGTTAGGTGGTTTACTTCTGTCCACCTTCCCCGTCCCTTGTGGAAGCTAGCTCCTGCCACAATAATCTAGACAAATTTTGCTTTCTAGGAGAGTCCAGCTGTATTAGCCTTAGACAACCTCTGCCAGCAAATGGCTCTGTTAGCAAGCTCATTTTCCTAAACCAGAAGCTAAAGTGATGCCACCCCAGGGAAAAAGGCATTGGCCTAAAATTGGATAGAAACCGTGGCAGACTGCTTCTTGTTATAGCTGCTAATGCTATTGCCCTGTGTGCCCAACTCTGATAAACAGGTGGCGTTTGCACTGGCCTCCAAGGAAACCTGAGGTCATGGCTGCTCATCTGCTAGTTGATTTGATGCCACAGCCAACAGCTGACTGCACGTCCCAAGCTGACTAACACTCTCCTCAGGAGCCTGGAGGGTCCCTCTTGGGGTCCTGTGTGGATATCAGCTCTCAGCACAGGCTATCCGGTAAACACATTGGTGCTTTCCATCCAAACAGAGCCGAGGAGACTCTTTTTAAACCAAACAGTTTGATTTACTGAAAAATGCAGCTCTGT